TGCAAACGGAGTAGACATTGTTGACATAGTCATTGCCTATAGGTACTGTGTGTTTATTGTACTTATTGCATATAGTTTTTCTTATGTTATTTATAACCTCCTATTTGAATTAGCCGAAAAGGGAGAACTGTGGTGATACATTGTTTATGACCTAGTGATTCTTGCCTTAAGAGCTAATCAGCATGCACTGTTCCATTGAACCAACGAAATAGAGACCTTGACCTTCTTCTTGGTTTCTAAAGTGGTTGTCATTATCCAACAATGGAGGCTTCTCACTTTGTAGAGAATATATTCTTTGGTTTCCTAAGGGTGCCTCACAAAAGGTAGTCACCTGATTCACATTTCTTGGCATTGTTCTAAGTGTAAGTTTAGAGAGAACACCTGCAAGAAAATTGACAGCTGTCTCTCCATAACACCCCTCATACACGAGCTGTTAGGCCCAGGACCATTCAGGGATCCCTAGAATCACCCCACACCTACTGTTCAAGATCTGCTTTGTTCAGGTGTGCCCTGTGATCCCTGCCAAGGATGTCTAATCTGGGAAAGCTGGAAAGATGCTCACCTGCCAGGACTGGTCCCAGGCCCAGGCTCAGTCCTCCAAAACAGTTACCTGTGAGTGTTTGCATTAACATACCAGCAGGCCCTCCACTTTGAGATGACTTCTGAGCTGCTAAGATTTCCTGATGGGTCGATACATGGCTGTGATGTTGACTCCCTCCTCTTAGACTAGAATTCTCCATCCCCATCTTTACAACTCACCAAGATGTAGCAGTGCTGTGAGAAAGGAAGTCATAGCACCTTCCAGATGTTACAACTTTGCAGATAGTTGTCTCCTTGCCAAGTGGATACACATAAAGTATATTTTCTATACAGGCTGACTTTTCCTTAATGTCACGAGGAAGCCCCTGGGAAACAAGACATGCTCTAACCAGGCACCTGACTCTCGATCCCTCAGTGCTGTGATGGGGTGAGTTACAGAATTTATGGTTTCTGTCTCTTTGTGGTTCTCTTATTTTTGTTTTTGTTTTTGACACAGCAAGTCTTGAATGTTATGCCTTTCTCAGATGCCTCCTCTTCTCTCAGCTTCCTGTGTGCTGGAATTACAAACCCAAATCTGATTGTGATATCCTCTTTCAGAATGTCTCTAATGTAACCATCTACACACATATTCTGAATGCTGCCAGGTACTGCAGACCAGCTTAATACAACATAAAGCTAGTGACTTCCTGGGCTAAAACCTTCTCTAGGGGAGGGGCTCAGAACTAATTGGCCTTTTTCTCTTGGAGTTTTTTCTTGGTTCTCCCTTACTCCTTCAGGAAGAAAACACTCATAGCCAGTTTTCTACACTGTCTTTGAGATGCTTTAGGGATGCTTGTGAGTTTTTCCTGGGGATATGTGTACAATACCTACTCACCTCGGAAGTGACAGGAACAAAGACAAGAATACACGCAATTGTATCAGGTGAACCAGTGACTTATATCAGGATTCCTTAGAAGCTTGTGGTCAATTAATTTTTTGGTGTTTTGTGTTCATTTCTTTGTTTGCATGCTTGCTTGTTTTATTTGGTGAGACAACATTCCACTACGAAACTCTGGTTGTGTCGAAACTCACTATGTAGACCAGATGCAATCATTCAGCCTGTCTCATCTCCCAGCTTTTGAGAAGGGTATGCGCCACTATGACAAGCAATGTTGGAAACTTTTCAGTTGTTATACATCTGGGAAAAAAAAAGCTTTTCCCTATGATGTTTAACTGACTATAGTTCTTATGGGTGAAGTGTAGTAACCATGGTGCATCCAGGGTTCAAACAATCTAGCTTGCTTAAAGCATCTACAGATCTACAGGCCCTTTGGTGTTATGAGACTCAGGCAGGCAAAAAGACACCCATGGCAGAGCCTGGGTCCTTGAAGTCCAAGCTCATAAAGAAAGCATCTGCATGCCTTCTAATGACAGGTGGCTCAGGTGAGTGACAAACACCAATGGGGTAACCTTGATCCCCAAAGTTTCTAGCCTGCCTGAAGCATCCACATACATACCTGGTACTTTGTGGCTCATGGGAACTTAAGCCATCTATGGAGCAGGCCGGGTCCTCACTGTTTGGGCTGACTAGAAGCGTCTACAGGCCCCCAGATGCTGTGCAGCTCAGGTGGATGAAAGATACCTCCCCATTTAGCCTGACTGTACATTTACAGGATGCCTTATGCCAAAATGCTCAGGTGATGAAAGACATCCACAGGGCAGCATGGGACCACATGGTCCAGCATGCCAGAAGCATCCGATGCCATCTGGTGCCTTGTGGTTCAAGAGGGCCGAAGACACTCATGAGGTACCGTGGGACTTCATGGCGCCAATGTGATGAGCAAGTAAAGGATGGTGAAATGTGAGAGAGAAGTGAGATGGTTTGTGTGCTGTGGTAAGAGGCATTTCTGAAGAAGTAAGAGCTGTGAGGAAAGGACTACTTGCCATCTGGGACCAGAATGGCATCCAGCTCTGAGATGCTGCCTATGGCCATGTCTGAGTCTACAACACCAGGGGCCTATGTTAATATCCATGGCCCATGTTGTAACCAAGGTTATGTGAATGCCTGATGTGTGGTCCACCAGTTTAGGCCATGCTGTTTTCCAAGGGCCATAATGCCACTGGAGCCATGTTGACCTGAGGGGCCTGAGCTTCTTTGGAGGAACATGATGGCATTAGGGTCTAGGTTGCTGCCAGGGGCCATGCCTGGGTGCAAGGTCTATGTTGATATGCATGGATTCAGTAACTATTCCAGGTTGTATGGATAACTTGGGTCTGGTCAAACACCTGAGTTTCTCTTGATTTCAGAGGAACATGCTTCCTCCAAGGCCATGATAATCTAGCTTGCCAGTACTGCCTACCAGGATCAGAGTGTCTTCTGAGCCTGTGATGCTTCCTGGAGCAATGTCTTAGTCTATGTTCCATGGTGCCCAAAAGACCAAACAAATGTCCATAGTCTAGGCTGCATCCTGTGTCCATGTTGGTGTCCAAGGTCCATGCTGCCACTGGGGCCATAGTGTCTCGTAGGCCTGGGTCTATGACTCCACCAGAGCAAGGATCTGTGGCAATGGCTGTGGATCCTGATAGGATACAGGGCAATGACAATGTCTCCCAGGCCATGTTGGTGGCATGTGTATCCACTAGGGGTCATGGTATTGTCCAGGTCAGAGATGCTGCTGTAGAACATGTCTGGGTCCTCCCATAGATGGGACCATGATGTCTATCACAATTGGAGTCTATGATGTTTGTGGCCCATGGTGCCACCAAAACCCATAGGAATTCCTGGGGTCTAGGCCACATCCTGTGGCCATGTAGGTGTCCAAGGACAATGTCTGGGTCTGTGGTCCTGCTCCATCATGATTTTTGTTGTGTCCATGGCTCCTAATACCATGGAAGGCAATGGTGATGCCAGGAGTCTGGGTTGACCTGTGTGGTCATGTTCGTGTCTGCAGGCCACACTTCCCCAGGTGTCATGTTGATCTGAGTGACCTGGGCTACAACCTGGGGACATGATGACATCTGAGCCAGAACTGCTGGTAGGCACCATCGGGATCTTTGGTCCTATTGCATTTGGGGTGGCCTGTGTTTCTGTGACCCATGATGCCACTGAGAGCCATACAGATGTCCAGGCCCTAGGCCACACCCTATGACTGTATTAGTATACAGCGTCTTTGATGCTACTGGTTCCTGCTGTCACCTGGGGATCCTGCCGACAACCAAGACTGGGTCCACTGCTCTCCTACAGCTAAGGTCCAGGTTGATATCTCTGGCTCCTGACACTATCAAAGGCAATGCCGATGCATATGTCTGGACCACCACCTGTAGTATGTAGATGTCCTAGAACCTTGCTACTATGGTGGCCATACCAATGCAAGGACTGCACAGCCACATAGGGACAGGACTCAGCTGCTGCTGTGAGCCAGGGTCTGTGTCTAGAGCCCAACAGCAGCCAGAATCTGGGGTACTGTTCACACTTATATTACCACAGGGGGTCATCGGAACCATTCCTAATGCCATGCTGATCCAGCCCTATCCCTCACAAGGGCTGGCACAGATGTCCCGGCCACTTACAGAGCTCTTGCAACCTGGCAAAATCCTCATATGGGAGAGCAAACCCTAACACTCAGGAGAGATAGTTCCCTACCCTTACCAAAGACATGGGAGAGCTGGCCCTGATGGCATGGGACTAGGAGTGGTGGCTCTGTCCTTCGCCTGAAGTGGAGGTCCCAATGGCCTAGACTGACCAGCTCAGCTGCCACCCAGATGCAAATTCTGGGGCTTGGGACAGCCCACCCTAACAGCTGTCTCATCTATGACTTGCTGGATTTCAAACAGTAACTGGTCCCGTGGAACCATAGCTAAAGGATATCCTTGACATGTGGCAAAAACCGGCTATCAAAAAGGAGTTTCTATGAGAGCCCAGTGGTGAAAGTGTAAAAGAACCCAGAGGCCTTGAACCAGGACAATGATTTATTGCAATGAACATTTTGTGGGTGAGGCTGATTGGACAAAAGGGGTGTACTGCATGCCAAGCCGCAGTTCCTGATGCCCCTAGGATGAATGAAGGGGTATTGTAAAGACAGAGGAGCAAGATGGGCTTTTTGTTTGTTTTGCTTTGCTTTTAATAAATTTGTGGGAGGAACTTCAGGTGTCAGGGGAGGATATGCAGGAACAGGGAGGTATGTGGAATTGGGGTGCAAAAAGTGAAATTTCAAAAAAAAATGAAGGATGATGTTTTAAAATAAATGATCAGAAACCTCACAAAGTGCATGTGATGAATACCGAATGGTTCGAGAGTGCAGTGTTTGGTGATGTCTCTTTTCTTTGGTGATGTCATATATTTGTCATCCTCTTCATTCTGTAGTAGGACCTGTGCCCAGTTTCTTCTGTTGTTTTATTAAACCAAATTCCTTGTACATAGAAATAACAACAGTCTCACAAAAAAAAAAAAAAAAAAAAAAAAAAAAAAAAAACAACAAAAAAAGAAAGCAAGCAAGCAAGCAAGGAAGGAAGAAAAAACTGTGACTCACGATTCACAGTGGAGAATATAGTGGTTTTAAAAGGGGGAACTATTACAGGAAACTGAGGATAAGCAGAAGATAGAGACCCAAACCTCACTGGTATGATAACACATTCCCCCACGATATGGATTGAAAGGAGAGAAAGGACAAATCTTCAAGTCCACAGCAAGATAGAGGGTAAGAGCATTAAAGTAAAGGTGGAAGAGATTGCCACCCAAGCATTTAGGATTTTTTTTTTTTCTGTACCCAAATCAAATTAACTTGCTGGATCTTTCCTCCCAAGTGATCCCCGATATTAAACTTTGAATTTTCCCGTAAAATATACTCAAAAAGTATTTCCATGGCTTGGCCACTAGGCTGTCTCTCTTCTGCACTTACATGATGCGTTCAAAGTCCTTCTCTGGTGCGGCAAGCATAAAAGAGCAAAATCCCAAGAGCTGTGAGGATCAGGCCAGACATGCCCATTCGGATGAGGTTCTCCACTGTGTGTTCCTGGGGCTGTGAATCTGCAGAATATGGACAGAGATGTCAGGACCCACCAAATCTGCCATGCATAACAGCATTTACATCATGAACAGCACCGTCCTCTGTATAGAAATAAATATTCTGTGATAATACCCCAAACAGAATTTTCCTTCCCACCTGCCATAGCTTCTGACATGTTTTGTGATTGGCTGGTGGTCTCGGGAGCTCCTGGGGAGAAAGGACGTGTTGGGTTGTAAAGTGCTCAAGGGGATTGACTGTTTTTTCCTCCAGTTTCATCTTCATATTTCCTAGAAATATGCATTATTATAATCACACAACATATTGACTATCTGGAATAAACACCTTCTCTGCTGTCGCCGGCTTCCTATGGTTTTGTCTTGGCTTCTTCAGCCTGACTGTGTTCTGACTTCAGAAATCCTTGTGAAGTCATATATTTGGGAAAGAGTTTATCTGATAATTCAGATGGGATAACATGGCCTCCTGTTTCACAATAAAGAAGCATTTCCGATCTCCCAGGTCAGTCTGGACAAAAGAAGCCTGGAAGCTCATGTCATGTCCCCAGGAGACTAACCTTCACTGATTAATCAGGGGAGAACCCAAGAACCTGCCACAAGTCTTATTCTTGGTGGCTGCTGAGCATAAGGTGCACAAAATAGTGACAGGGTTCTCAGGCTGCACTCATCCTACAAGGTGCCATGATGCTTCTATTCAACATCTCACTCTCTAGTCACCACATTGTTAGTAACAAACAATATATCCACAAGACATAAAAATATGCATACAACATACACAAATGCAGATGTGTTCTAATAAGTATCTAACCTAAATGATCGAAGAATATGACAATGATAGACATGTAAAAAATTACAACTTGTACCCATGTCTAGGAAAGGCTATGGATGCTGCCGGAGAAACAAAGACTGCCATGTTCATAAACCAATGTAATTTCTGCCTGCTTTCTACATGCTTATGCTTATTTCCACAATAAGTATGGCACCCCTCATCAAAGAAGCTTCTTGTGAAAGAGGTAGGGGAAATCACAGAAATCCACAGCTCTTCGGGTTAATGGTCTCTGACCACACACATTGGGTATTTGGAAGGTATCATAACGTGTTTAGGACCCATTCCGACAGACAACACTGAGATGACTAAACTGGTTAAAATAGCAATTAATGGTATTATGTGTTCACACTGCACATGGATATTTCTATGACACAAATTTTATACCTAACATTGAAGGAAAGCCAAGGAGTCAGCTGATTCTTGTCAAATCCTAACCTGCTCTGAAAGTGCCCTGGTCTTTCATTCTCTCAGCCTTAGCAATCAAGAGCTCTGTCAGCCATCATGGCCTCTAACCCTCATTGAGGCAACAGGGTGTATGACAAATGGTTTTTTTAATGTCAAACAGCTGACTGAATGAGATGACTTCCTCTTCTGACAAATGAATCTCCAGGGTGTTACTGACCTCAGAAGACACATGTGCGGTATTTGTATAGTATCAATATTTGAAGGGCACATACTTGCTGTATGCCACAGAAACCTCAGGAAATAGAGCTTGGAACTGTCCATTGTTTACAAACTGTGCCTTTGGGGACCTGGAGAACTTCTGATATGCCCCAGTAAAAATGAAACCATTGTATCCTTTGGATGAGACACAGTGAAGGGTAACATTTCCACCTGAAGTAAACACAGGGCTGCACAATGCTGACAGACTAGGTTTGTCATTGTGGACACCTAGGAGAGGCAGAGGCAGCCTGCTAAATGGAACACGGCCCACATTGTCCAGAGCAGATAAGCTGTGGAAGCACACTTTTGTGAGATTAGTTCCTGAGGACAGAGGCAATGAAAGTTACACATAGTGTCCTCTAGTCTGTCACCACCACCTCCAGGATTTCACTCCAGGGTGTCACTCAACATTGTCACTGTCCAGAGAGCAGAGCTAAAAGAGTCGGAGTTATATTGCACTGCATTCAGGCCTCTCACAGATGGGGTAAAACTTTGCCTTATTATTGTGGTGTATTCAGGTTTCTATGTTGCTGGGTTCTTCGCTTTCCCCTTTATGTATCACATATGAAAGGGCTTGTACGGTACCCCCACACCAGATGATAACAGGAGTCCCAGAATAGATCACAGAGCCTGGATGTGCTCTGATGCTGGGTTTATAAAGGTTCCTTGAAAAGATGTAGAAGAAAACTCTTAGGACAGTTGCACATAAAATGTCACATTTGCCAAAGACACTTAAGCTGATCTGCAACAGAAGGACACAAAAAGACCTGACATTTCCCTTAACTCATTAGGTCCACTGTGATTATCACCCCCAGATTTTTGAACCTCAAGCCTAGATATATCACACATTTGGTGAAACTGGAATCAATAGCGCTGGCTCTTGATCACCCATAACAGATCAGGTCCTTTCCTGGCATTATGTGTCTGTTGTAATATCATTCCAAGACAAGGCTGGAGTTCCCTTACCTGACACCAGGAGCTCTAGGTAGTTACTGCTCGCTGACCACAACTGGGGGCTAGTCGGGTAATAGCCATAGCATGTGAACTTCCACCTCTGGTTCACATGCCTGTTAAGTGGAAGCAGAGAGTACACATTGCCCCATTTTTCCAGAAATCGAGCAGGAAGTTACTAGGATTGACAAATTATTCTCTCACCTGTCACCACCAGTTCTAGAGGGTCACTGCGCTCTGACCACCCTGCAGATCCATAAGAGTAGCACCAGTATTTCCCTGCATGATGCCTTCCCATGGATGCTATGGAGAACATGGCCTTATTACCAGGATCTTTTGGAGTTTGACTATCCAAGGGTCCTGGGCTTCCTTCTTTGTAGAGGAAATATTTCTGGGTTTCCTTAGTCCCCTCACACAAGATGGTCACATCATTCCCTGAGGCAATCACAGAACCTGGCTTGGCCCACAAGGTGGGTTTTTTCAATGTCCCTGGAAGGACATGGGTGAAAATGAGTGGGACATTGAACAGCTTCACAGTTAAAGTCAAACTTGCTGCTGCTCTTGTCTTAAACCACTGGGTAGAAAAGGAACAGTAGTGCCACGGGAAGACTCATCTGTCTCCTCATCCTTCCAGGATTCAGTGGCACTATGCCTTCCCTCATTTTCTGTGCCTTGGCTTCCACAGTCTATCTGCTGTGTCAATGATCTCAGCCCTGGCTCTTCAGGCACACCACACACCATAGTCCAGCAGAATGTGATTACACAGAGTATCTGAGGCTTCCTCACCTGAGATGACCAGCTCCAGAGGGTCACTGCCTGCTGACCACACCTGATGATTCCTTTTGTAAGAGCCATAGCATCTGAAAATCCACCTTTGGCTGGAGATCACTGGACCCACTTGGAACATGGCCTGGAAAACCCCAGTGTGTTTATTTTCTGACTTCTGAGAAATGGAGAACTTTTGACCATTCTTAGTTAAAATGAACCAGTCATAACTTTGATGTGAGCTACAGTACAGGGTCACAGGCAATCTTAAGTTTACAACAGGGCTTTTCGGGATTGACAGGGTGGGTTTGTTGTAGACTCCTAGAAGAAATAAAACATACACAATTAAAGTGTCCCATACAGTCTGAATTGTTCTCCATGTCTGGACTTTGATGGTAGATACTGCTACAGCACTCTTTTCTTGAGAGGGACATTCGGGGCTAAGATTTTGAGTGTCTTCTCACCTGCCACCACCAGCTCTAGGGTATCACTGCGTGCTGACCATCCAGCAGAGGTGAGAGAGTAACAGTGGTACATCCCTGCGTGCAGCTGGGTCACAGACGGAATGATGAATTTTGCCTTGTTTAGAGCTTTTGGGGCCTGTTGCTCCCAGAGTTCTTGGCTTCCCTCTTTATGTATTACATATATTTGTGTTTCCAGGGTCGCCTCACACCAGATGGTAACAGGACTCCCTGAGAGGATCACCAAGCCTGGCTCAGCCCAGATACTGGGTTTCTGAAGGGTCCCTACAAAAAAGGAAAAGAAAGGGGCTGTATATGTTAGAATTGCACAGAGAAGGTCACACTAGCCAGGGACCTGTAAGATGATCAGCAATAGCAGGACATATAAAGTCAACACTTTTTCCAGGGTCTTTGGTTCTTCTGTTACTATTAACCCTGATATCTATGCCTCATGCCCAGTAGAATATCATTCTGTGACATGGAAGTCAGTAGCATTGGCTCTCACTCAACTAACACACATCAGGTCCATTCGTAGAATGTCAGTTCGTTTACACTCAAAGGAAACTCCTGCATATCCTTACCTGAGACCAGGAGTTCCAGGTGGTTACTGGATACCGACCACAGCTGGGGGGTGCTACTATAGTAGCCATAGCATGTGAACCTCCACCTCTGGTTGCTGATCACAGGACCCACTGTGAACCGGGCTCCAAATAGGCCCTGGGATATTTTCTGTGAGGAAGCTGGTCTGGAGAACTTCTCATCATCCTTCATTAGAATGAACTTGTTATATGGATTTTGTGATGCACACTGAAGGGTCACCTTCCCTCCTGAAGTTACCACTGGGCTGGGAATGGCTGACAAAGTGATGCTGTTGGGGTGAACTCCTAGGAGAAAGGAGGGAGCATGTTATTTGGACTTTTATGAGAAGCAGTCTTCCCATCTTCTCAGAATTGAGAAAGGGAGTCTCAAGTGAGCATAGTCTTTTCTGAAAGGCAATCCTGGGGTTGGGGGAGGGTTCTCTCACCGGTCACCACCAGATCCAGGATGTCACTGCGTTCATATGAGCCATCAGAGCTTTTATATTGACACCAATATTGTCCTGCATTGTTCCATTGAACCAATGAGATAGAGAATGTGGCCTTGTTCTCAGCTTCTAGAATGGTCATTGGCATCAGGTATTCGTGACTTCCTTCTTTGTAGAGATGATATTCCTTGGCCTCTAAGGGGCTCTCACAGAAGAATGTCACATGACCCCCAGTGGCTACCAAGTTACTTGGCTCTGTCCTCAATGTGGGTTTAGGAAGAGCCCCTGAAAATAAATTGACAGTTGGTTCCACAGATCTCCCAATCTGATAAAAGTTTTCCCAATCAAGGACTCCCCACAGAAATCCCCCACAGGCACAAGCCCTCAGTCACAGGCATCCCCAGCATCAGGCCTCACCTGCTGCTCCCCATCTGCTCTGTCCATGAGTTACCTGTAGTGTACGCCCAGGAAGTCCAATCTGGGGCAGCTGTGAAGACACTCACCTGCCAGCACTAGGATCCTGACGTCCCCACTCAGTCCTGCAAGAGAGTTACCTGTGAGTGTTTGCACTGAAACATGAGTAGATCATCCACTTCCTGTGCCTTCTAGAGTTGATGAGACATCCTAAAGGCCCAAGTCGTGATTGTGAGGTGGATTCCTTCTCACACAGGAATTCCTCATCTCCATTTGGTATCTCACCAAGATACAGCAGGAATGTAACAAAAAAGGTCATGGCATCTGCCAGGTGCCACACGTTGCAGAATGTTGGTCTCCTTTCCAAACACACACACAGGAGATGAGTGACTTCTGCACGGTTGTTTCTGCTTCCTATCCTGTAGATGTCATATTAGCAGCTGCCGAGGAAGAGGAACTGCCCTAACCAGGCGCCTGACTCTTCTTCCCTATGCTGTGATGGGTTGGGCTCCAGACTGTGAGGCTCCTAGCTCTCTGTAGTTCTTTACTTTCTGTTTTTCTTTCTGAGACAGAACCACTAAAACTTCATGCAGGTCCCAGACTCCTCCTTTTTATCCCTGAGCTTCCTTTGCCCTAGCATTACAAACCCAAGTCTGACCATGCTGAACATCTCTGCTATAACCCTCTACCTCTGCCCAGCTTCCCCCAGTCACCACAGACCAAGACTTAACTCAAAGCAAACCTGGTGACTTCTTGAGCCACCTCCTCACTTGAGGGGCTCTGAGGGGATTGATTTTTTTTTTCTCTCAGGGCTTCTTCATGGTTCTCCTTTACTCCTTCAGCCAGACCAAATTCCTGACCAGTTTCCTAGCCTGAACGGGAGATGCTTTTGGGATGTTGTGTGAACTCTACCTAGGGATAAAAGAACATTGATTACACACCCCACATGAGACAACAGTCACAGAAATAGACTCCACATAAATCAAGCTGGAGAACAAATGAATTATAGGCAGGTTCCTTAGAAGTGAGCTGTCAATACTGGGGTAAAGACTGACTGTTTTTGGTTTGTTTGTTGAGACAGGTTCTCACTATGTTGCCCTAACTGTACTGGAACTCAGTAGATCCACAAAGCAGTGTCACACTCAGCTGTTATGAACACTGTGCCCCATTATGCCCAGCAATACTGGGAAGTTCTCAGTGGTTATATTCATGGAAACAAGCTTTGCCTTAAACTTTTAAGTGCATATGGGGGTAGGTTCAGGAGCCTGTACACCGTGAAAGAATGCCAACAGGGCTACAGTTGTTTTATTTTTTCATATTTTTTAATTTAAATGTGAAACAAGCTTGTTTTCCATATCAATCCCAGTTCCCACACCCTCCTGTCCTCTCCTGTTCCCGGCACCAACCGCCATCCCATCCCCTTTCTGCTCCCCAGGGAGGGTGAGGCCTTCCATGGGGAGTCTTCAAAGTCTGTCATATCACTTGGAGCAGGGCCCAGCCCCTGCACCATGGGTCTAGGCTGAGGGAGTGTCACTCTATGTGGAATGGGCAGAGTCAAGGATCTCATTCTGACAAGAGAAAGGGGAAATGTGGGGATGATATAAGAAAAGGGTAGATTACTGAAGCTGCTTTTAGATTAACACCAAATGCTAGACATAAATATTTTACATTGGTATGGATTTTTGTATATAGATTAAAATTTAAGGTTATTTTTATACACCATGTATGTTTCTACACTTCTTTAATGTTTTGTACCTATGCAACTCATTTAAAAATGTAATGTATAATTACAAAATACAGATTAGTAATTATTTGTCTGTAGTAACCAAACTTGTAATCATGGTAAGTGTGCTGTCAAGGATACATATGTATAACACTTAGACCAAAGGATTGCCTTCAAACACTTCAGAGATGGACAGAATATGGCATTTAAGATGTTTTAATAACTGAAACCTTTTCATGACAGTGAGACACGTCTGATCGTGGAAGCACAAATTTACTTCAGAAAAGAAGGATGACATCATAGAACATCAATATGATGGTAGTCCTTATTGTAGAATAGTTATCTACAGAGCAAGAAAATCATTCCCTCTACTGTTGACAGTATGCTATCCAAGTTGGACAAGCAGGGCACAAATGAAGGCAACGGCTGAACATTGCCAAGACAAACCTGGTTAACTTAGCTGATAATTTTGGAAAATAATAAGTCCCACACCAGGCAACCTTGTCTACTCATCCTCTGTTCATGATGGTTTTTGCTGTGACACAAGAAGCAAGAGGAGCTAGAAGACATGCTTAAGAACAGAAAGGAAAAATTACATTGTGGGCATTCAATTGTGTATCGATATACTCCAATATAATTCATTAGGGAACTAGAGAGATAGAATAGTAACTAAGAATGGTAATACTCACATGTATACGGTATTCTTGATATGGGTATGACATCAACCATTGCTTCAGGATGCATACACACACACATCAGATGCTTAAAAGGTATGTGTGTTATATGAAGCTATTCCATGGGAGCTATGAACAAACCTCTATTCATGCAAGATAAGAAATATGTGATAGATAAAGTGAGGAGAGCACCAAAGTTGTGGATTGTTTACAAGAATAAAAATAAAAGGGATCCGAATCACTAAACCCAAAGGAAAAATGCATAATGGCTCATGAAAACTATAACACTGGATTGCCCTAAGCAGTCTGTAGCTAACTCAACAAAGTAGAGAGTGTTCTTTCAAAGGTGTGTCAGCCAGGGGACAGACAAAAGAACATCCCAGGACTGAATTTTGGAGTTAATGGCAGAATTAGTCGTGAGGAAGTAGGAGTTAAAGAGAACCACATTCTCCCCAGGTTGACTGAGGAGTGAACACAACCACTATAAAGCAGACTGTCACAGCAGAAGATGTTTCTGGAAATGTTGACAAGGCGTAGCTGAAGCTCTGAAAGAAGCTTGCCCACCCTCTCTGCCTGAGATTTGCATAGTTTCAGTAGTTTTCTTCCTCTGACTTCCTCGTTGCTTAGAATAGCCTTCCCCTCCTTATCCCCCTTCATCAAAACCACACTAATTCTACCTCCTCCACACTTCTCTCCCGACCACAGCTCCACATCAGGATCGCAGATTCTGTGTAGCATTTCCGGCACGGATGCTCACAGGAGTGATGCCACCAGCTTCCATTTTAGGCAAAGGATAACTTGAACTGTTAAACTTTGAACAGACCATAAACTCCTTGCTGCTTTCCTAAGGTAGAATTATGTTCATGTCTTTTCAGACAGGATTACTGTGGGGGTTTACCAGTCTGCTAACATGAAAGAGATTTAAAATCTGGGTTTTAATCCTAAGAGGAAGAAATAGACAGACAGACGGACGGACAGAAGATAGATAGTTAAAAGAACTGAGGCTCAGGGCAGTGAAATATGTCCAAGGGGCAAGTGTCGACAGAGCCAGCAGGAACAGACTGCTGCCTGCTGCCACGAAGCAGAAGTTGAGCAGCAACCTGGACCTGTTGGGAGACGAGAATGATGATGCTGTCAGTATTGAGAGAGGCACAAACATGACTGTGAATACAACAAATGCACCGGGAAGGAAAAGCTGGGGAAAGGGGAAATGGAAGTAAAAGAAATGCAAATATTCATTCAAATGAGTAAACAGCCTCAAGGAAGATCATAACCAGCCATTGTTTGGGGTTCATTTTAGCTGGCACAGGAAAAAGGGTAACCCATGGTGTTTGTACCTGTGGGGAGCAACGGAGTTATCTTATGTGAATGCCATTCACAAGTGGAAATCCGGTCATTGCAGTCCTGTGTAGATGCTAGTGCAGATGAAAATATGTATACTTGTGATAGTAACACCAGCCACTCTACTTGCTGTTGCTGGGTCTAGAGGCATAATAAGGAAATTGGTCCCATAACGGTGCAGTGCATAAAGCACTATGTTGGCCATGGAAATGCCATCAATGAGCGGAAATTCCACCCATGAGACCCAGATATTCTCCTGACAGTAAATATCATGATTTTGATTATGGAATATCATAAACAGACATGCTTGTGGCAATGTTTGGAGGTGTGAAAGAACACAAGGGTGAAGTTCTGAGGACTGGTCATGATCTTTTGGGTGAAAAGATAATGCTATGTGGTATACATCACTCTAAAATACACTGTGATGTGACGCTTCAGAACAAGGCCTATTAACTCCTACGTGTGCTTTTGGCAATGGAATCATTGAGTGTCCAATCACTGTTACCATGTTTCATGGGGTCACTGTACCCTAATGACCCTTACTGGTAGTGATAGAAACAATAGTATCACCCTTCATACTGAACTGTCACTTACACCTTGGTGACCTAGGCATTGTTTCTGAGAAGGTCCTCAGCTGACATCCCCAAAGCAACTGACCTTTCTTCCTTGAGTAGTCACGTCCTATGAGCTCTCTGGTCACTGAAAGTTATCAGGAGATTACTGGGACTGGCTCAGCCCAAATGATAGTTGTCAAAGATGTGTCTGCAAGGACATCAGAGGTCAAGCCCCATGACATTCCTTAGCCCTTATCCCATGTGAATTCTAACTCCTCTCACCACACTCAATGCCATCATGAGACCCAGTGTGTGAGACTAAGACTAAATCATGATGCTGGGTTTAGGGGAGAATTCACCCACAGGTGCCTAGATCCTCAGACTCAACCCTTTAATGAAGCTCCCTGTGAGAGGTTTGCGTCAAGATGCCTGAGGAGGCCATCATCAAACTGACGTTCCTACACTGGGACTACCCAGGTAACGGGTAGTGTCAGACACCCCCCTCCACCTAGGCTAATGTCCCCTCAACCTTATAATACTGGCCAAGCAAACAAACATAGGGAAATATATGTATGTATGTATGTATGTATGTATGTATGCATGTATGTATGTTCCTTTTTTCTACTATGACACTGACAGACAGAAGGACAAAAAACAAAGACGCTGTCCCCCTTAGGCTCAGAATACTGTTTCCATACTACTCAGTTCCTGTGCTGGAGACATATGGACACTCAGAGCAACTATTCCATTGTGCTTCCTTCCAGGCTTTAAAAAAAATGTCTGTCCTAGTTTTTCCACGACTTGGCCATCATTTCAGTGTATCCCCAAAAATGCTGTCCCCCACAGACAATAGGAAGCAGTCTAGAGCACACAACACCCACATTCCTAAGAAATGGTCTGGGTCGGTTTTGGCTGTTTGGTAGGTTATAGATGTTTGTAATCATTTAGGGTTTTATTACTGGTCATGGTCAGGGAGGACCATGCCAGGATTCTGTGGCATGTGGCTGACTTTGCTTTCTGAATCTTCAGGCAAGTTTTAATAAATCCTAAGTAATATACCACCACACTACCCCCTAGTATTGCACCTTTCACTATGTGCCCATACTCACCAAGGGGAAGAATGAATGTTAAAGCAGTCTGAAATCTAAGGGGGAAAATGAACATTTAAAATACCTTCTTCTTCATCTAGGGAGCCTACATGAGACAGACCTAGGTCCTCTACATGTGTGTGACAGTTGTGTAGCTTATTCTGTTTGTGAGGTCAACAGTAATTGGATCAGGACATGTCCCTGATGCTTGAGCTGCCTTTGGGGATCCTATTCCCCATGCTGGGTTGCCTCATCCAGACTTGATTCAGGGGGAAGATCATAGTCCTGCATCGACTTGAGGTGCCATGCTTTGCTAACTCCCATGGGAGGCCTCACCTTTCTCAACGGGTTTGAAGGAGGAGTGGAGGGCGAGTGGAGGTGAGGTAGGCAGAGGGAGTGGGAGGAGAGAAGGGAGGGGAACTGCTTTGGGAGGCAAAATAAATGAAAATATTTAGTTATTAAAAAAATAAAACCACTCAGTCTTGTTTGTGGTGATGTTTACTAAGTAGTGTGTGTGTGTGTGTGTGTGTGTGTGTGTGTGTGTGTGTGAGTCAGAGAGAGAGAGAGAGAGAGAGAGAGACTGTGTGTATACTGAAGTCCGAGAGTGCTTTGGTTCACCATGGTCATGGAATGTTCTGCAGTTGTGTTAATTTACATACTGTTGATTAGAACCATCAGACACAGCAGTAAAGATGATCCTGCGTCACAGAGTCACCTCACCCTTATGATGCAGCAGTTATACTGAAGTTGGGCAGTCACTGTCATCTACTTGGCTTGCTTTGCTGTGCAGCTGGAAGGCCCATTATTCCCCATGTGTCAGAGCCTTGACTGTCAGCATGGCTTAATTGGAAATTTGTGTGAAACACTTTATGATTGTCCAAAGGGGAAGTAATAGGATTATTGTCCCACTCTCTCTGTCTTGATTCTCAGCTGTTGAAGCTTCTATGGGCGCCAGGGTGGAGTTTCTCTCCACAGGTATAAAGTCAGGGCCCAAAAGATAACAGAATGAGAGCTTTCCTAACATGATCCTAAAAACATTCTTTCTCGTAAGGTTTTATTATTTTCTCCTTCTTTATCTTGGGTTTTTTTTTTCTCATTGATAGACTATTGAATAATAGTAGATAAAGCGGAGCTAATTTCCCCAACTGAATGTGCCAAGTGCAAGGGGATGATGCCTTCCTTGGTCTGTCCTTTGCTACCTGCACTAGGCAAGAGATCTAGCCTCAGGGTCATAAGAGTGAGAGAAGAAACCCTGTCCCTTGTAAGGAGTTTGGGTTTTTCCTCCACCACCAGTATTGTCCTGCCGCCGCGCCAGCCCCAATTAACACACAGAGACTCTGTATTTGATACAATGCTGTTGGCCCGGTTACTTGTTTCTTATCGGCTAGCTCTGCCTTAATTATTAACCCATTTCTGCTGATCTATGTATTTCTCTTACCGGGGAGCCGGCGGCATACTGCTTTCTTCAGACTCTCCATCTTGACTCCTCCTTCCTACTTCCTCCTTGTCTCCTAGTCCCTCCTATCTTCCTTTCCTCTTGGCCAACAGTGCTTTATTTATTAACCAGTATGAGAAACATATACAGAATGACATCTCCCATCAGTCCCTCCCAAGCTGAAGCTCACAGAACAGTGTAGGGAGTAAGGATTTTCCTGCCAGCTTCCGTCCTGAGGCTGCATCAGCCCCAAATAACGCACTGTGACTCTGTATTTGATATAAAGCTGTTGGCCCAGTACTAGTTTCTTATCGGCTGGCTCCATCTTAAGTATTAACCCATTTCTGTTGATCTATGTATTCTCACGTAGTCTTCTCTTACCGGGGAGTGGGCAGGCATTTTGTTTTCTCCAGAGTCTCCATCTTGACTTCTCCTTCCTACTTCCTCTCTCCTCCTTGTCTCCTAGTCCCACCCATCTTGCTTTCCCATTGGCCAACAGTGCTTTATTCATTAAACCAGTATGAGAAACATATTTACAGAATTGCATCTCCCATCAGGACAGGTCCTGCACCCAGCCTGAACTTCACATTAGAGCTGGCACCTTTGCTGGGGGCTCAGGTGAGCCAATCCTGAGAGTGAGAGAACAGAAGAACTAACACCACTTCCCTCCTCATATTTCCAATACAGAAATCAGGAGAAAGAGTCCTTCACCCTGGTAGTGTGATTGCTGGGGAACCAGGTCTGAGGACCTGAGAATAGGACAAGTGGCCCTGGCCCTGGCCCTGGCACTTGCTGCAGGCTGCATTGCCTGAGCTAAACTGATCAATGCTAGAAAGCTCATTCAAGTGGTGCCTCCCTGATAGGGAAGGAATGATTATAATGATTTTACTGACCAGGCTCTGAGTAGGGACAAGAAAGAGGAAGTTGATGGGAATGATTCTGCACAGTAAGAATCCACATCAGTGATCACAGCTAGTTTGAGAGAAAACACAAAGGCCACAGGATAGGACGGCAGGGACATAGGTAATGGATACTTAGCAGATTTGTAATTAAAGTTAACCTTTGCAGGGGTTAACAAAATGGGTCAGTGGTCCAATTCACTGACTGCTCCTCTGAGGACCCACGTTCAATTCCCAGCACCCACATGGCAGTTCACAGCCCTCTGTAAATAAAGTGCCAGGATATTCAAGTTTCTCTTCTGATTTCCTTGTGCACTGTATATATGTGGAATACAGATGCAGATAAAACATATATACACACAAAATAAAATAAGTTGGAATGAAACTTTGCAAAGTATTAAGTCTAGGCATATTTTTCAATCTAGTCTTCACTCAGAACTTTCTGTTTGAGAAAAGGAACAGAGACTAAGAGTCTCATCAAGACAAATAAACACAACTGTGTGTTTATCCACAGAGAGATTGAGCTCTGCCAAAGAAGGTAGACAGTGCATTTCATAACACAAGCCCATTTCCGATTCATCCTCTGCTTCCCCTGCAGATGCAATGTGACCACCAGCTTGCTTACCTAGCCTTACGGATTGTAGCATCCCCTTTAGTAGCTGTAAATCAAAATAACTTCTCCCTTGGTTTGCTTTCTGTCATTGTGTCACAGAAAAGGAATGGGACAGCACCACCCTAGTCCATTTAAAGGAAACAAAAACAGCCAACACCACTTTCCTAGTTATAAAGAAGAAAACATAGCCCACCTCTACCCATTCTCATTGTTATATCTGACACCCTAAAGTTTATGTCTTGTAGTTTCAGATCTTACACTAAGTTGCTGGATGGATCTTTAATTTATGTATACACAATGTGAGAGGCAAGGATCTATTTTCAGTCTTTGGCCTGAAACCCCAGTGTTGTCATTTAAATAAATTAGTTTTTATTCTGCAAAGTACATTTGACATCTTGTTCAAAATTTACAGGGATATAAGGGGATGGGATTATTTATCATTAATCTGTACTTCTCTATGTTCTCCCTGCTTGTAAAATGTTGACTACAGATTCTCATATATGTAGTAGGAATGAAAAATGGTTAACTATCCGGGGTGAAATGGGACGTGGTTAGAATGGAGTGGGTGTAGGATGGGAGCATGAAAGATCAAGAATTCAGAGTCAGCCGAAGGACAGGCAGGAGAAGCAATACCCCGACAGAGGGAGCCAATATAGATTTATAGACAAACCTGGTGCCAGAGAAATTCTCAGGGATCGACAAGGATGACCACTCCTATGACTCCTAGCAACCAGGAGAGGGTATCGGAATGGGCCTTCCTCTTTAATCAGATTAATGACCACCCTAAATGTCATCATAGAACCTACATCCAGTAACTGATGGAAGCAGATGCAGTGACCCTCAGCCAAGCACTGGGCTGAGCTCCTGGAGTTCAGGTGAAGAGAGAGAAGATAGATCATATGAAGAAGGAAGGTCAAGATCATGAAGTGGAAAACCACGGAGACGGCTAACCCAAGGTAGAGGGAGCTCAAAGACTGTGGTCTAACAGCTGGGAAACTGCCTGCAAATGAACTAGAACCTCTGAATGTGGGTGACAGATATGTGACTGAATCTGTTGAAGGACTGGTTGTGGCATCAGAACATACGCAAGGGGCATAACTGGATTTTTGGAGCCCACTCTCTATGGTGGAATAACCTTCTCAGCCTTGATGGGGGAGGTTGGCCCTACCTCAACTTGGTATGTCAGACTCTGTTGACTCCACAAGGAAGGCCTTACCCTGTCTGAGAAGTGGATAGGTGTAGGAAGGGTAGGGGTGAGGGAAGGTGAGACAGGAGGAACTGGGTGGGCACAGAAAATGAAAATGTTTAAATTTAAAAAATCACAAAAATTACAGTCAAGTGGATGAAACTAGAAAAAGATGGGGGGAAAGATATTGCATGTGCTCTGTCTAGCAAAACATACCAACTAAAGACTTTCTTGAAGGCCTTGATGAAAGGACAAAGGGAGCTTTAGTTCTATGTCCTTGTCCTGAATCAGACATGAAACAAGTCTAATGCTGGTTCCAGTGGCTCCCAGGAGTCCAGTTTGAAGCTGAAAGGGACGAAACACTGACTCCCAGGCTGTAGTTATCACCTAAAGCATTCTTCATGTTCGCTGTGTTCTGATTCTCAACATTGTCTGGCTTGTCTCTCTGCTAAACCTTGCCCTAAACCTTCTGGAAAAATTATATAAGACACTAAACTTCTTTACAAATTTGCTTGGCATAAGACATCGTAATACTACAAACCTAACTATTCCTTTTATATTGTTTACTTCTTATCCCAGGTCCTCCCATCAACGCCATGATGCCCAGGATATGTATTTCTGCTGGTTCAGATAGGTTCTAAATATTTCAGTTTCTTACTGCAATTATTATGTTTACTTCATTATTTATTTTCAAATTTATTGAGATAAAGTTGAGATATTCAGAGAAAAATGTTTGAAACATTTAATATGACTCTCCATATATATATATATGATAACCACTAATGAAAAAGGAAACAATGATTTTGAAAGAGAATGGAAAAGATATCTATAGAAATGTCTGAATGGAGGAAAGGAAAGAGGAAAATGTAATAATATTCCATACTCAAACATAATAAAATAAAATACAAAGCCACTATCTTTCACTCTTTCTTCTGTCCTTATTTTATCTGTTGGTTTTTGACAAAGCAACTGCCTCATTTATGAAAATTGAGGGGCATTACTTATCTCTGATGACAGAATCACCTGTACCCAGAATTCTCAGAATCTCCCAGAGACTGGTTATGTCTGCACAACGACTGTGCACCTCAGACAGATCTAGTTTTCTGACACTCCTGAGTCCTCCCTGCCGTACAGAAGGCAGAGATTGGATCTCCCTGGACTGGTAGCCAACACAGGAGGTTCTCAAGAGGGATGTTTCCACCTGGAAGACGAGAGGTTCACCTGGCCCTGCCTTGGTGTCATGATGCACAGCTGGGCATAGGTCACATCATGGAGCTCACCAGATGTATCAGCCTGGGGTGGAAAAGTATAAAAGAAAGTTAATCTCGGGCACTGGGAGCGTGGGGGGACTGGAGAAGTTATGACAAACCTGCTCATCTATCACTTGGTCTCCTTTTGCCCTTGGGTCACTTGAGGCCTGTAATTCCTTTGACTTGAGGGAAGAAGGAGTGATTTGTGCCCTTGTGAGTTGGGCGGGTTTCACCTGGGCATACAAGACATTGGAGGGATCTTCCTCGCATTGGTTCTGCATCAGAGACACAAAGAAACAACGGGAGTCATCCTGGTTCCAAACAACGCTATTGACCCATATTTCAACAGTGTGTAAGAATGATACTTCAGATATTTACATCAAACTAAGTCATTGCACGTGGGATCATCTAGGATTTCCTGGGGACGTTGAGTGACTATTAGTTTCCCCTCAGCACTTCTGACATATTGTCAGGACACACTGACATCCTCTCCAGTACTAACATCTTTTAGGAAAAAGAACATGCCTGCCCACGGGACACTTGGATCTGCCATGTAACATACCAAGATATGCCGGTTCATAACAGACTTGTATGAACCTCTCTACTCAGATTTACCTCAGAAGGCTTTCTTCTTTTTTAATTTGTTTATTAGCTCAGTTAATTTTTGTATTTATTTACATAGAGAACTCAGTTTCTCCTCCCTCCCCTCCTCCTTTTCCCTTTCCCCAGGCTCCTATCGAACCCCTCCCCATCTGTTCCTCCTCCATGTCCGTTCAGAAAGGGGAAGGACTCCCAAGGGTGTGAACCAAGCATGTCGCATCAAGTTAAGCTAGGACATAGCTATTCCTCCTGCATCAAGGCTGTGTATCGTAATCCAGCATGGGGAACAGGTTCCCAAAAGCCAACTAAGAACCAGGGACATGTCCTGACCTCACTACTGGTTAACTATACAAACAAACCAAGATATGAAACATTTACACACATGCAGAGAGCCTAAGTCTGTCCATTGCAGATTCCCTAACTATTGGCCAGAGTCTATGAAGTCCTTGGAGCTCAGGTCAGCATCTCTGTGTGTTCAACCATCACTTGACCCACATGGCTTGTACAACAACTCCTTCCTTTCTTCAGGAGGACTCCTGAGCTGGGCCCAGTCAGAAGGCTTCTTTCAAGTTCCCCAAAATTCACACTGACCATCTTTGTCTCACATAACCTCATCCCATATGCTCTAATAGACTTCCTTCATACACTTTGCATTGGTCAGTCTTAGAGTTGACCTCGATTTCATCTCCTGTTTTAGCTTGACACAATGTGTAAGGAGCACAGTCCCTTGCTATATCTCCAGCCCTTGCAGAAGCATGGGTAAGAGGGAAATATAGGAACTGGGGACATGAGTCAAGCAACAGAGTGGTTGTTATGTAAACATGAGCACCTCAGTTTGATCCACAGTGCCCACATAAAAAAGGAAAACCAAGATGCACATTCCTGGGACTTAGCTTACGGTGAAATAGAGATAGGCAACCAGTACTCCATAGCAACAATCCTTCCAAATAAATAGCATCATGGACATTGAGAGAGCATGTCATAACTCATCAGAGAAGATGAGTAAGAGAAAAAATAGAAGAGATTGGATAACTGACCCGTGTCTCCTGCCTTGCACACATGTGCTTGCACACATGTGCACGAACATTAACAGTATATGTTTCTTGTTTACTTGGGTTTCCTGTTAATGTACTTGGTAATTTTGGAACTTGAGCTTAAACCCAAAGGCATTATACAGCTAAAGTAATCTCTTTGCCTTTGAGCTACAAATTCTAACCCTCATATTTTTCCCCCCTCTGAGCCCCAAGAAGCATTCTAGACAAAAGAAAAACCTAAATTGTGTAAAAGTCACTTAAGGAATTGCTCAGCATCTTTAGCCATCCAGGAAATGCAATTTGAAATTACTCTGAGATACCATATTACACCTATCAGAATGGTCAAGATCAAAAACACTGATGACATCTTACGGTGGTAAGGATAGCGAGTAAGGGGAACACGCCCCCATTGCTGGTGTGAGTGCAGACGTGTACAGCTGCTTCGGTAATCACTATGGCAGTTTCTCAGAAAGCTGCATATCAATCTACCTCAAGACCCCGTGATATCACTCTTGGGCAAACACCCCAAAGGTATACTCTCCTATCAGAAGGTCACTGCCTTGTGTTCATAGCACATTATTCATAGTAACAAGAATCTAAAAACAACCTTTATGCCCTCTCAGCTAAAGAATGGACGAAGAAAATATGGTTACATGTACACAGCGTATTACTACTCAGCAGTGAAAAACACAATGACAAAATGAAATTTGCTGACAACAGGTTGGAACTACAAAAAAACAACCTGAGTGAGGTGACCGACACACAGGAACACAAACATGGCTCCTGAGATAACTGGGACAGTAGTGGGAGGAAGAAGGGAAGGCGGGAATAGAGGGGTAGAGGGGGGTAGGGTAGGAGAACATGAGGCAGGTGGAGGCTGAACCTGGGGGAAGGACAGACAGGGATAGAAAGGAAAGAGGTATATATATCAATTGAATGAGTCATTATGGGGCTAGGGAAAAACCTGGCACTGGAAATTTCCAGGGAATCCAAAAGGATGACCCAGCTAAGTCCTTAAGCCTTAATGGAGAGGATACCTAAACTGGCCTCCCCTGTAAACATTTTGGTGACTACATGGATTATCATCACAGAACCTAAGTCCAGCAACTAATGGAAGCAGAAGCAGAGATCCACGGCTAATCACTAGGCAGAGCTCCCGGAGTCCAGTCAAAGACAGGGAGGAGTGATAATTTGAGCAAAAGGGTCAAGGTCATTTTGGGGATACCCGCAATGACAGCTGACCTGAGCTACTGCAAGATCAGTGACTCTGGGCCGACAGGAAGGGAACCTGCATTAAACTGGACTGGGCCCTCTGTGGTGACAATTGTGTGGCTTGGGCAGTCCCTGAGGCCACTGGCAGTGGGACAAGAATTTATTCTGAGTACTTGAACTGTCTTTTTTGAGCCCATTCTTTTTGGGCTCAATCCAGATATAAGGAGAGGGCCTAAAAATTATGTGCCAGAATTTGCTGACTCCTCATGGGAATCCTTACCCTCTCCAAGGAGTGAACGGTGGTGGGAGAAGATAGAGAGAGCAGGAGAAGATAGGGAGACAGAACAGGGATTGGTATGTAAAATGTGAAAATATTAAATAAAAAGATAAAGTAAAAAGGAGGCCAATAAAAGAAGCATTCTAGAAACAAAAGAGAAGACGAGGAGTCAGAAAGTAAGGGCTTTGTTCTCAAAACTAAACAAAGAAAAACTGAGGGCATAGCTTACAGAATATAGGTGCTTGTACAAACTAATGGCTGATACAAGGCAGCAGAAATTACTCTAGGCTTATACTGGGTCATATATTGTTAGCATTGTGGATAAGCAAGAGTCTCACCAGAACATCCAGCTCCATGCTGTCTGTAGGCTGTCCGACCTTCACAGTAGCATCTGTCATAACAAAACATTCATGTCCTCCACTGACCAGAATGCCAGGATATCTCCCTTCCCCAGACCCCTGATCTATCCCAAATAGGGAAAGAGAATGTGTAGGTGAAAGGGGGGCGTAGAAGGTGTCCCAGATGCTTCCCCGCCCCATCATGCTGTGAACTCAGGCATCTCCACCCCTGGGCCCTCTTCCTCTCACACAAGATTTCTTCCTGGATGGCAGGAGCTGGGTAGGAGCTGTGAAAACAATAAAGTGTCAAGTGGCAGTGATGGAGGTCAGGTGGTTATGTTTATGTTTCTGGGCATGAGTTACCTATTCTGGAGGCTTTTGTCCCTGGTCACTGGATCTGCAAGAGGGTGCAGGTCGGTCTTTGTATGGGCTGCAAGAGAGCAAGGAGACTCAGCCAGGAGGGTGGAACACCCTACCTAGCACCTTCAGAAAAAGAAAAAATATAAACAACTCATTGCATGTGTGTTAAAATCGCTCAGGAGGTGGAAAAGCCCATACAACACAGGATATTGCACATATTTCCACATCACATTTTATGTGAAGGGTCTGTGATTTTTTTTCTAAACTGATGTGTCCCAGTCTCAGCTTCCCCTGGGGCGGATGCCCTGAGCCCCTGCTTAGAGAGCCCACACTGGAACCCACACTGAGACCCAGGCCTCCCATACCCTACTCACCTCCCTTTTTGTCTTTGGTCTGATTCCTGAGTCTGAAGAGAAGGAAAACGATGAGGAGGGAGAGCAATAAGAAGACCGCCACAGAGACCCCAATCACAGCCTTTGGGTACCTGGTCACTCCTAAGAGACAGGTGAGATCATGCATAAGGAATTGTGCATGAGAACCCACTGTGAGAATAAAGAAGCAATGGCAGAGCCTATGTGCATCTGCACTAGGATTTCTGCACACATGTTACGGTTCTTGGTTTAGTGTTCTGTGGGGGTACTTCGGAAATTGGTAATGAGTGTGTATCTGACACGTTTGCCTGCACTTCAGACACTATTCTTCCTACTGGGTGGCCTCACCCTGCCTCGATGTGAGGATTCGTGCTTGATCTTACAGTATCCTGTTGTGGCATATCTGTTCTTTTCTGTGGGAGATCGTGCAGGGATCATGGCTCTGGAGGAGAGTGACTATGTCTGGAGGGACTTGAATGAGTAGAAGGAGGGTAATCAGCAATCAGGATATATTGTATAAAAGATAAATAGATAAATAAATAAATAGAAAGAAAACCTTCCGTGTCAGTGCCCCATGTAATTCTATCTATGATTGTATTTCCTACCCATGATTCCCATGGTTTTGCAACATGGGACCATTTCTGAACACTTGCACTCATATTCCCTGACCCAAAACACCCAGAATAAAGGTGCTTGGATGAGAATTGATCCCAAGGTGTCTTGCCTCATACCATGTTCCATACACTGAAGCTAAAACTCATGGACTGAAAGAAAGGATCCTTGATGTCCTGCCCTATCTCTGTGCCACGCCCCTACACAATGTCACTAATACAGTGGCAAATGGAGCAGAACCATTTTAGAGCAGGAGTCATGAGTCGTTCTCTGTAAGACAACGAAACAGATAAGATCATCATTACAAGGAACTGAATTTCTGTGCCAAGGACCCCCCATTTACACTTGTAGATACTAAAAAATAAACAGAAGAGGGGCTAGCGCATGTCAACTACTCCAGACAAGAATATACCAACCACATAGCTTGCTGAACACTCCCTGCACAAGAGTTCTTGCGTAGACCTCTATAGCCAGAAATAACAGACATGAAGAGCTTTTTTAAATAGCCTGACACATTAGATGGGGACAATCTAGGGAATTGGCACCTGCTATTATTTTATGTGTTTCACCATAAGACAGGCCAGCAAGATCACACTTCATCAGGGTGTTTCCCTTACAGACTAGCTTCTGAACTTCTCAGTTTCAATGAGAACATACTGGAATCCCTGCTTGACACCCAGCAGCTTTATCAACATCCAAGCTGGTAAAGGAAGGAATTTCCTGGGGACAGAGTGTCTACATGCACAAAATAAGAAACAATCTTCCTAGACAGAAAAATCTAAAGCATCTATAGGAATGGATATTTAGACCCCAGGCAACTGTGGAAAATTTGTTGAGGGAATGAAGTGCAGAAGGGCGAAATAACTATCTCATCTCTGCTCAGTCCCCTAGAACCTCCCAGCTTCCTCCCTGGAATCTTCTATATTCCCATGAAGTTGTGGTGGTTTTTAGTTGGGAAATCTCAGTTCATTTCTTAATCTCTACATAGATAAATTCCTAGATTGATTATCCTGAGTAACCCTCTGAGCTAACAAAGGCCTCGGTCACCTTACCTGAGACTCCGATATCCACAGAGTCACTGGTGTGTGACAACAAGAAAGGGGATGAGCGTTCAGAACCAAAGCAGACATAGGAACCTCCAAGGGCTGAGGTCACAGCACTCATGGAGAATTCTGCCTCATATTGTGGACCTTGAGACTCTGATCTTTGGCGCATGTGAGGATGGGCTGCACCTTCCTTGAATAGAAAGAAAGTGTCCACTGGGACTGATGACTGACACAGTAGAATCACATTCTCTCCTGAGGACACAGTAGTTCCTGGATGCATGGAGAGATTAAGTGTGGCAGGGGGGTGTCCTAAAGAGAAGACAAATGAGTGAGCAAGTGAAGGCTCACAGTCATTGCTCTAAGCTCCCCATTCAGAACTAGCCTCTATATTTTAACAGACAGTCCCTTGTCCACTCTCTCATCCCTGGACATATTCCGCCCTGGAGATGCTCATCATCATCTTAATGATGAATCCCAGATCTTCTCCCAGCTGAGTCTGTGCCCATATGGGTCTCAACTGAACGCAGTGTATTCCTTACCTCTGATCAGGATATCCAGAGGGTCACTGGGGGCTGACCACTCAGACGAGTTGCTGTGTGCACCAAGGCATCTATAGCGACCACCAAGGAAGAAATCCACAGAGCCCAAGGTGAAGTTGGCATGAAAATGTCCATCCTGTGGCTGATGGACAGAGACCTGTATGAAGTCTCTTTCTCCCTCCTTGTAGAGAGCAAATCTGTTGCAATTTGTCTCAGAGGAACATATGAGTGTCAGGTTCCCTCCAGGGGCCAGGACCGTTCCATGTTGGGTCATCAGGTAGGGCTTCCTTGATAACCCTGGAAGCAGGACAGACAGGGGGTCAACAGCTGCCTCTTACATTCTATTCCATATACCATCCTGCTCTGACAGGGCAAAGGCCTTTCCCACTCTGGACCTTAACAGTCAAGAGCTCTCTTCATCCATTATGCCCTCGAACACTCTATGAGGTGGAATGGCTTATTATGAGGGTTTTCAGTGTCAAACAGTTGAGTGAATGAGAAGACCCCCTCACCTGAGACGTGTATCTCCACAGAGTTACTGGCCTCTGACCATACGTGTGAAGTATTTTTATAGTACCCATAACATCTGAAGGGCCCATTCTTGCTTATCGCAGAAATCTCAGGAAACACAGCCTGCGACTGTCCATTGTTTATCAACTGTGCCTTTTGTGTCCTGGAGAACTTCAGATCTGCCCCAGTCAAAATGAACCAATTGTATCCTTTGGATGAATTACACTGAAAGGTCACATTCCCGCCTGAGGTCACCACAGGCCTGGGCAAAGAAGACAGAGTAGGTTTGTCACGATAGACACCTAGGAGAGGAAGAGGCAGCCTGTTAAATGAAACACAGTCCACATTGTCTCCATCAGATAAGCTGTGGAAGAACTCCTTTGGGAGATTATTTCCTGTGGACAGAAGCAAAGATTGTGACACATAGTGTCCTCTCACCTGTCACCACCAGCTCCAGGGTGTCACTGCGCTCTGTCCACCCAGCAGAGGTGAAAGAGTAACAGTTATACCGCCCTGCATTCAACCATGTCACGGATGGGATAGAGAATTTTGCCTTATGATTGTGGTCTATTTGGGTCTCCATATTGCTGGGTTCTGGTCTTCCCTCTTTATGTATCACATATGAAAGGGCTTCTACGGTACCCTCACACCAGATGGTAACAGGAGTCCCAGAAGAGACCACAGAGCCTGGTTGTGCCCAGATTCTGGGTTTATGAAGGTTCCCTGAAAAGATGTAGAAGGAAAAACAAATGCATCTGTTAGGACCTTTGGACATAAAAGCTCCCATTTGACAATTACGCTTCAGCTGATTTGCAACAGAAGGACACAAAAAGACCTGACTCTTCTCTTGACTCATTAGGTCCACTGTGATTGTCCACCCACAGGTTTGAACCTCTAGCCTAGATTTATCACACATTTGGTGAAACTGCTGTCAATAAAACTGTCTCTTGATCACCCATAACAGATCAGGTCCTTTCATGCCATTCTGTGTCTGTTGTAATATCATTCAAAGACAAGGCTGGAGTTCCCTTACCTGACACCAGGAGCTCTAGGTCGTTACTGCTCACTGACCACAACTGGGGGCTAGTCAGGTTATAGCCATAGCATGTGAACTTCCACCTCTGGTTGGGAGTCACAGGCCCGACACTGAAGTTGGCTCCTGAGAGCCTGTTTATTTTCTGTGAGGACAAAGGCCTGGAGAACTTCTGTTCTTCCCTCATTAGAATGAATTCATTATATGCCTGTCGTGACACACACTGAAGAGTGACTTTCTGTCCTGGGGTCACCACAGGACTGGGAAGGGCTGACAGGGTGAGTTTTCTTGAGTAAAGTCCTAGGAGAAAGGAAGAAGCCTGTTAAGTGGAAACAGAGAGTACACATGGCCCCCTTTTTCCGGAAATCGAGGAGGAAGTTACTAGGATTGACGAATTATTCTCTCACCTGTCACCACCAGTTCTAGAGGGTCACTGGGCTCTGACCACCCTGCAGATTCATAAGAATAGCACCAGTATTTCCCTGCATGCTGCCTTCCAATGGATGCTATGGAGAACACAGCCTTGTTACCAGGATCTTTTGGAGTTTGACTATCCAAGGGTCCTGGACTTCCTTCTTTGTAGAGGAAATATTTCTGGGTTTCCTTAGTCCCCTCACACAAGATGGTCACATCATTCCCTGAGGCAATCACAGAACCTGGCTTGGCCCACAAGGTGGGTTTTTTCAATGTCCCTGGAAGGACATGGGTGAAAATGAGTGGGACATTGAACAGCTTCACAGTTAAAGTCAAACTTGCTGCTGCTCTTGTCTTAAACCACTGGGTAGAAAAGGAACAGTAGTGCCACGGTAAGAATACTCATCTGTCTCCTCATCCTTCCAGGATTCAGTGGCACTATGCCTTCCCTCATTTTCTGTGCCTTGGCTCCCAGTCTGTCTGCTGTGTCAATGATCTCAGCCCTGGCTCTTCAGGCACACCACACACCATAGTCCAGCAGAATGTGATTACACAGAGTATCTGAGGCTTCCTCACCTGAGATGACCAGCTCCAGAGGGTCACTGCCTGCTGACCACACCTGAGGATTCCTTTTGTAAGAGCCATAGCATCTGAAAATCCACCTTTGGCTGGAGATCACTCGACCCACTTGGAACATGGCCTGGAAAACCCCAGTGTGTTTGTGTTTATTTTGTGACTTCTGAGAAATGGAGAACTTTTGACCATTCTTAGTTAAAATGAACCAGTCATAACTTTGATGTGAGCTACAGTACAGGGTCACAGGCAATCTTAAGTTTACAACAGGGTTTTTCGGGATTGACAGGGTGGGTTTGTTGTAGACTCCTAGAAGAAATAAAACATACACAATTAAAGTGTCCCATACAGTCTGAATTGTTTTCCATGTCTGGACTTTGATGGTAGATACTGCTACAGCACTCTTTTCTTGAGAGGGACATTCGGGGCTAAGATTTTGAGTGTCTTCTCACCTGCCACCACCAGCTCTAGGGTATCACTGTGTGCTGACCATCCAGCAGAGGTGAGAGAGTAACAGTGGTACATCCCTGCGTGCAGCTGGGTCACAGACGGAATGATGAATTTTGCCTTGTTTAGAGCTTTTGGGGCCTGTTGCTCCCAGAGTTCTTGGCTTCCCTCTTTATGTATCACATATATTTGTGTTTCCAGGGTCGCCTCACACCAGATGGTAACGGGACTCCCTGAGAGGATCACCAAGCCTGGCTCAGCCCAGATACTGGGTTTCTGAAGGGTCCCTACAAAAAAGGAAAAGAAAGGGGCTGTATATGTTAGAATTGCACAGAGAAGGTCACACTAGCCAGGGACCTGTAAGATGATCAGCAATAGCAGGACATATAAAGTCAACACTTTTTCCAGGGTCTTTGGTTCTTCTGCTAGAATATCATTCTGTGACATGGAAGTCAGTAGCATTGGCTCTCACTCAACTAACACACATCAGGTCCATTCCTAGAATGTCAGTTCATTTACACTCAAAGGAAACTCCTGCATATCCTTACCTGAGACCAGGAGTTCCAGGTGGTTACTGGTCACTGACCACAGCTGGGGGGTGCTACTATAGTAGCCATAGCATGTGAACCTCCACCTCTGGTTGGTGATCACAGGACCGACTGTGAACCGGGCTCCAAGTATGCCAGTGTGTGATATTTTCTGTGAGGAAGCTCGTCTGGAGAACTTCTCATCATCCTTCATTAGAACGAACTTGTTATATGGATTTTGTGATGCACACTGAAGGGTCACCTTCCCTCCTGAAGTTACCACTGGGCTGGAAATGGCTGACAAAGTGATGCTGTTGGGGTGAACTCCTAGGAGAAAGGAGGGAGCATGTTATTTGGACTTTTATGAGAAGCAGTCTTCCCATCTTCTCAGAATTGAGAAAGGGAGTCTCAAGTGAGCATAGTCTTTTCTGAAAGGCAATCCTGGGGTTGGGGGAGGGTTCTCTCACCTGTCACCACCAGCTCCAGGATGTCACTGCGTTCATATGAGCCATCAGAGCTTTTATATTGACACCAATATTGTCCTGCATTGTTCCATTGAACCAATGAGATAGAGAATGTGGCCTTGTTCTCCATTTCTAGAATGGTTGTTGGCGTCAGGTATTCTTGACTTCCTTCTTTGTAGAGATGATATTCCTTGGCCTCTACGGGGCTCTCACAGAAGAATGTCACATGACCCCCAGTGGCTACCACATTACTTGGCACTGTCTTCAGTGTAGGTTTAGGAAGAGCCCCTGAAAATAAATTGACCGTTGGTTCCACAGATCTCCCAATCCAATAAAAGTTTTCTGACCAAGGCCTCCCCACAGAAATCCCCCCAAGGCACAAGCCCTCAGTCACAGGCATCCCCAGCATCAGGCCTCACCTGCTGCTCCCCATCTGCTCTGTCCATGAGTTACCTGTAGTGTACGCCCAGGAAGTCCATTCTGGGGCAGCTGTGAAGACACCTGCCAGCACTGGGATCCTGACGTCCCCACTCAGTCCTGCAAGAGAGTTACCTGTGAGTGTTTGCACTGAAACATGAGTACATCATCCACTTCCTGTGCCTTCTAGAGTCGATGAGACATCCTAAAGGCCCAAGTCATGATTGTGAGGTGGATTCCTTCTCACACAGGAATTCCTCATCCCCATTTGGTATCTCACCAAGATACAGCAGGAATGTAACAAAAAAGGTCATGGCATCTCCCAAGTGCCACAAGTTGCAGAATGTTGGTCTCCTTTCCAAACACACACACAGGAGATGAGTGACTTCTGCACGGTTGTTTCTGCTTCCTATCCTGTAGATGACATATTAGCAGCTGCCGAGGAAGAGGAACTGCCCTAACTAGGCGCCTGACTCTTCCTCCCTATGCTGTGATGGGTTGGGCTCCAGAATGTGTGACTTCTACCTCTCTGTGGTTCTTTACTTTTTTTTTCTTTCTGAGACCAAACCTCTTGAGCTTCTTACACATCTCAGGCTCCTCCTTCTTCGCCCTGAGCTTCCCATTTGCTGGTTTGAAAACCCAAGTCTGACTGTGCTCTCTTCCTGCAGAACATCTCCATTTTAACCCTCCTCATCTGCCTGAATGCTCCCAGTCACCACAGAACAGACCTTAACCCAAAATACACCTGGCGACTTCTTGAACCACATTTTCACATGAGGGGCTCTGAGGAGGTTGGTCTGTTTCTTTCAGAGCTTCTTCTTGATGCTCATTTACTCCTTCAGCCAGACCAAACTAATGACCACTTTTCAAGCCTGCCTGGTAGATGCTTTTGGGATGTTTGTGAACTTTACCTAGGGATACAAGAACAGTGCCAACACACCCCACATGCAACAACAGTGACAAAAACAAATACTCCACACAAATTAAACTGTGGAACAAATGAATTATAGAAGGGCTCCATAGAAGTGTGCTGTCAATATTGGGGGGGGTCTGGTTGTTGTTTGTTTGTTTGTATGTTTATTTGTTGAGACAGGTTCTCACTATGTTGCTCCATTGTATTGGAAGTCACTATGTAAACCAGACTAGATCCACCAGCCAGTGTCACACTCAACTTTTGAGAACAGTGTGCTCCATTATGCCCAGCAATATTGGAAACATCTCAATGGTTACATCCATGAAAAAAAGCTTTGCCTGCACCTTTTAACTACCTATAGGTCTGATGGAAGAGGATTAGCTTTAGGAGCATCTGCATTATGAAATAATGCTAATAGGGCCACTGTTATATAGGTCACCTTGTGCAACTGAAACTTCAATAGGAGAAGTGGCTTGCCATGCTGGAGAGCAGTAATCCATAGCAAAAGAAGATGGAGGTTAATGCTGCTGGAAGGATACTGAACAGAAGAGACACATTGGGCACCTTATCCTTCAGTTTTCAGGATGAGCACAGAGGAGATGTGCAGGAAAGTGGGGAAGGAAGTGTGGTATTTTCATGGCTCTTGGTTTTATTATATTCTGCTAAATATCTGTGATAGATTCATTGCCTTTTTCTTAACAATATACATTATTTGTATAGGAACAACCTATCAGCATTCTTTCCTCTTTGGTGTTCCTATTTCATTGTTCAGAATCCTGGTTTATGTGAAGGATGAATTTGATTTAATACCTGTTCTATCACGAATGTCCACTCTAACTTAAATGTTGTTGGCATCTTAGCTAGGAGTCTCAGCACCATCCTGATTGTCTAATATCAGCATCATTTCCATAGTACTTATGAGTTCAGGAGTGCTTGGGATTTGAACATTCAAGGAATGGTTAACTTTCAGAAGGTTTTACAATGTAGTTGGGGAGAAAGAGCGTTTTGGTCATTTAATGTTATGGTTAAAGGGCCCCAGTCTGCTCTTACATTCTGCAGATGATTAAGACATTATGTCTAAACTGTGGTTGTCATCAAAATCATGAGCTGAAAAACGGAACTAAAAACTTCCCCAACCTGAAAGTTCCTAAAACACATATGGTTCCCTGTTCTAGAAAAGAGGCCAGTCCTGTTCAGTACTGAACCTACCCTTGTGAAGGGCCATTGCAAGGAGACTTTCTCTTCCATGGTGGCTGAGGTAGAGTCAGGGATCCAAGAGTGCTTGTAGCAGTGTATCTTTGTGCTCTATCTGCAGATGGGCACTGAAATAGCTCATATTACTGTCTGGTGTCAACAGTGACATTAAAATAGATCAATTACTACTTTTATCCACAGGCATATTGTCTCAGGTGTAGGTATAATGTTTGTTGTGGGATATTTGCACACTGTGTAGAAAAGCTTTGTTGTGGTTGATGTAATAAAAAGCTGAATAGACAATAGCTAGGCCAGAAGTCTAGGTGGGACATCTGGGCAGAGAAAGAACTCTAGAAAGAAGAAAGTCAGAGTCACCAGCAAGATACCAGATATAGAGAAGAAACTTGGAAAAGAGGTTCTGCCATGGTAGGTAGGAGAGACAGACTAGATTTCTGAGGATAGAGAAACAGTAAAAATAATGCAGACTGTGCCAAAGAGATTCTAGGAAGCTCAGAACAGAATAAAATAGAGGTAACTGATCCACATGACATGATATAGATAAACAAAAATTGGTTAATTTAAGCTATAATAACCAGATAGAAAACAAACATAGGCCAAGCTTTCGTAATTAATAAAAGTCTCCATATCATTATTGGGAGCTAAATGGCAGGCCAGTGAGAGGCTCCTTACATAAGGCACCCAATATGTGGACAAATATTTCCATGTAAGACCTGGAAAAAGTTTTAAAAAATGTCCAAACGTGGAGCCAGATGTGGCTTCTTAGTCCTGCAGGCTCTCAGGTGGACACTGCCTGATGGCTTGAGCCAGCTAGCAGCATGTGCAAAGCTGCATGGTGGCTTTAAAGTTTGAGTGACTTCATAACAACAACTAAAAACACCCAGACACCAATAAAGACAAAGTAGCTCAGGTGGTCCAGGCTTTTAGAGGGCCAGAGTGCCTATGTTGCAGTTTCCTCAAAATTCTGCATCCAGAGCAACTTCACAGCTGCGAGCTGGGATGCTTCAGTCTTACAGACCTCGTATAAGCTCTACATTTTCACCTCACTCCAAGGGTAGACAATAGCTAGCTCTCACAGGCTTGCCCATTATCCTAATTCATAAGTGTTCCCTAAAGAGTCCATCAATCTCAGACAGCAAGACACAGTCTGAAGAACACAATGTTCATATTTCTAAGAGGGGGTATAGGTAATTTTTAGTCACTCAATGGTTTATGGACATTTGTCATCATTTGGGCAGTTGGGTGCATATTGTTACTAGTCATGGTAAGGAAGGAACTAAGCAAGGGAGGTTGTATTCAAGGATTTCGTTCTAAAGAGAAAAAAGTAGTTATATGGAAAAGATAGTATAAAAGGGCAAATTATTTAATCTACTTTTATGCTTTAAAGCAAATACTAGCCTGAAATATTTTACATTGGTGTAGGTTTTTGAAAATTGATACAAATTTAAGGTTATTTTTGTTTTACTCTGTATATGCTTCTACTCTCCTTTTTTGCCATTTTTAAAATTTATTTTACATAACCAAGTCCATTTAAATGAAAACAAACATTTATAGACAATCTTTGGGAATTTGGGCGTCATTCTTTCCAAACTACTTCCTGCTGGTAAGGGGCGCTGTTGTGGGGGGATTCTAAGAAGATGCAGAAATCCTGGCTGTAGTCTGTAAGGCTGCTTTGTCCAGCTGTTTTGAATGTAGGATCACCTGGTACTCTGTTTCAGGTGGTCTGGCTTGATCAAACCACATTAGTCTGGAAGGAATCCACATCTTTTCATTTTCTGTGGAAACAAAAACAGAAATCCTTTTCCCCAGTAACTTGTCCTTCAACTTAAATTTTGGAGTCAACGCATTTTTTTATTTAATTTACTATTTTACATGTCGATCCCGGTTCCCCCTCCCTCCTTCTTTCCCTCCCTCTTTTTGCCATTTTTTTTTTTAATTGAGCTACACATTTTCCCCACTCCCCTTCCCGCCTCCCCTCTCCCTTTCCATCCTGACCTCTGGCCCCCACGCTCCCAGTTTACTCGGGAGAGCTTGTCTTTGCCTGCTTTCACATATGTCTCTCTTAGGGTCCTCTTCGTTACCTAGGTTCTCTGGGGGTGTGGCCTTATAGGCTGATTGTCCTTTGCTTTATGTCTATTATCCACTTATGAATGAGTACCTGCCGTATTTGCCTCTCTGGGTCTGAGTTACCTCACTCAGGATGGCTTTTTCTACTTCTTTCCATTTGACTGAAAATTTCAAGATGTCTTTTTTTGCCACTTAAGTAGTACTCCATTGTGTAAATGTATCATATTTTCTTTATCCTTTATTCAGTTGAGAGGCAGCTATGTTGATCCAGGTTTTTTCTATTATGAAGTTTCTATTCTTCTTCAGGATATTTTACCTAAGAAACTCATTTAAAAATGGGATGTATAATTAAGTAATACAGGTTAGTATTCATCTATAATAATCAAAGTTGTGGTCATGTAAAGTGCATTTTGAAGGATGTGTGTGTGTTGTGTGTGTGTGTGCACGCATGTGTGTATTTTTTAGACAGATTGTCTTCAAACACCTCAGAAATCTACAGAATATTGCATTTAAGATGTTTTAATGACCTATGGCTTTTCAGGACAATGAGACATGTCTGCTACTGGAAGCACCAGGTTACTTCATAAAAGGATGATGGGCACTGAAGAACCCTCGCATGGAGTTTGCTTTTACTGTGGCAAAGTTACTCACTGGGCAAGAAAGCCCTTGCCTTGACTACTGACAGTATGTTATCATAGTCGACAAGCAGAACATCAAAGAAAGGAAGAACCGACCTTAGCAAGGACAAGGTAGGGATGACATTCTTACTTGGAAATTGTTCTCATTGATTAGAATTTTACGTACTAGAGTTCAAAAACCTTTCCTTTTATTTAGGCAAAAGGGAGAATTGCTATAGGACACTTGAACACTGTGCAGACATGTATTGCTGTGATTGACGTAATAAAAACCGGAGTGTTCAACAACTTGGTAGGAGAGAGAGGTTGGACAATCGGGCAAAGAAAGGAGAAGAAGATAATCAAGCCATGCAGGAAATGCCAGAATAAATTGGATGCACAAAGTGGAAAAATAGATAAAAGCCATGTGGTAGAATTTAGATAAATAATAAGTCTCTGTGTATCATTAGCTGACATCCCAAAGAAAAGTCCAATTACATAATTTCAGTTTGAAAGTCACACTTTAGCCACCCCTGGTACGAAAGCAGCCAGTAGCTCATATATATAGTCCAGGGTATTTTCTCCATATCATTATCTACAGATTGACAATAAAATACCGGTCTCAAGCTTCGTATCCCCCTTCATTATGTATCAGTTTGCTTTCTGTTTCTCTAACTTGACAAC